ACTCAAATGCCTTTGTCTGCCTCAAGTGTTTTGAAATGGATACCACCCATCACAGCATCCAGAAGTGTTAGTTAATTCCATTGTTCCCGAGTTTTGAAATAAATGAGAGGAAGAAAAATAATTGTATCAATGTGATGGTAGACAAATGTAGCCCAGTTTGCAAATTCAGTCTTAAATTTGGCTTATGCTGGAAATTTTCTGGTGTAATTATGTTAGGGTTGTCTTTTCACCTATTAAGTGTTTGCAATATATATTTCTGTCAGTTAAAACCCTGATACAGATGCAATTATAGCAGCAAAGTTATTGTGGTGGAGTTTATAATAAATTCGGGGAAGTGAAATGAGTTACTGCACCTTTGACTGGAGTTTTTTTTGAAACAGCAGATGATTAGTTGGAATCACAGATCATACCTAGGGTAAGTCCAGATGATGTCTCTGAAGTCCCTAAATGTTCATCTACTTAGTCAGTACTGATTTTGGTTTCACAGAGTAAAAACTGGGTTTCAGTAGAAATGGTTATAGAGCCAATCCATGTTAATGGCAAATTTGGCTCTCATGGAGCTGAAGTGAATTTTATAAAACCATGCTCTAAAAAGACATAGATTCTAGGAGGCAGCCCTGCAAGAAAATCTGTGTACTATGCTATGCAGAAATCCACTTACAAAGAGGATTTTCCATAAAGGCACAAATATAAGCCACATATTTTAGGGACAAGCCTGCAGTCCCTCCAATAAAATGTTGAGCCCACCCGATATTGAGACAAAGATTATGTTGTGATAATACAAAATGAAATCAACACTGGTTGGTTTCCACAACAAGAAGATAGAATGGCTCTATTGTCCTTCCAAGTAAAGCTAATGTAATATTTTAAAATAAAATTATCCAAAATGTAAGGAGAAAGTTAGCATCAAGCTGTGTAAGACAAATTGTCACAATCACATTATGTATCTAGGATCACAAACATGATCCTAAGACATGGAAGTGATTGACATTTGTTTGTTTGTGTTCAGTCTTGTGTTTATTTTCTATAGTGACTAATAATTCACTTGGTTTTGTACTGGCTTTTATTTTGTTAGGCAGCCGCTGCTTGCTGAAGCCGGCGAACAGCGGGTACTGACATACTGGTGAGATATGTAGCCCCTTGTTCCCCAGGCTATCAGCCCGATGTGTGTGTCCACAATTTGCTGATGGAAACAGAAGTCTGGTATGTTTTTTTCAGACACACAACTATAAGCAAGTGTGTGTCTCTTAACCGACTTGGTAATTCACAATTGAAACACCATAAATTTTAAGGAAACATGAATCCCTTACTCTGACAATAGTTCACCAAGTTCAAGTGAACCTCTTGGAGATATTAAAAGAAAAACGTGGCTACGAATTTAAAGTACAAAATACAAGCAGAAATATTTTGCAAGAAGTCAGTGAGTCATATTTTCCTCATAAGATTATTGAAACCATTGTGCCCAGAAACAATTAAAGATGCGACTAGGGCTGGAAAATTTTAGCCATAAACACAAACAGACACCAGCTTTTTGTTTGTAGAGGATGAAGGTCATTTGGCTTCAGGAATATCCTGATGCTAACGGAGATGAAGCAGACCATGCAGTTTGAGTGAACTCACTGCTGCGTAGAAGCTCAAATGTTTGGCCTTACATGCCTGGATACCTGGTGACACCGAAGGGTAAATGCTAACAGTCTGTTATGGCAAATCATTGGCACATCATTGACACAGAGACAAACAAACATACTCCTTTCGTTTGAAAAATATATTATTTTGATTTATATTAAAAATACATTTCTGAGACCTGAAATCTCAATCTTACAAAATCGCATGTATTAAAATGTTGGAGTAGATTAGTATCTGGCAGTTTGGAGGTCAGTTTAAGACTAACATGCACTATAAGACTTTTTTCAAGACCCCTTGGGTTTATTTTTCAAGCTCCTTCACTTTGGACTGATATTTTTGTGCTCTGCATGTGCCAGCCTCTGGCTAGCTACCGTATTTGGGAAGATTAAAAGTGAGGAAGTACCTCTGCTCTCCGAGGTATAATACCTGTATTTATGAGATTTGGAGACATTGGCTTACACAGCAGAGGTTACAGGTTGGAAGACAGATTTGCACTCAGCTTTGTCAGGGGTCCTTATCTGATTTATTTCTAGCCTAAAGGGAGAGAGTTGAATTTGAGATGTGTCCAGATGCTTTTTCTCAGGGGCCGTTATAACGTAGCTCAGCACTTTTTATACAGACACTCTGGCTAGTAAACCCCTCTGTTTAAACAACCACATTTATAAATCTTTCTTACAAATAAAATGTTGTCTTGACATCCTACTTATGGTCTTCTGCTCAGAAGTGTGAAATAAGCTGTACGATTTCTAGGTCACTACAAAAAAATATATCTGCAGGTGTGTACTAAGGGGGTTTTGACTTTGTCGATATTATTTCAAAGAAAGATAATCCCTTTAATGGTGCTTTTCTAACATTATTTAGATTCTGTTCATTCTTATAAGAGGGAACTCTGAAAATGTGCTTGTGAATTGCTTTTGAATGTTGCTATGTGTTACAGGAGAGCATGACATGGTCAGTGGCCTTGAGGAGTGAGCTTTGTGCAGTTAAAAAACCCAAACAACCCATGAGAATTTTTAAATGCTTATGGCTATGCGCTAGTGGGATCCAATTCATCTCTCATTTCTTCTAATTTGCAACCATGTATCTTCTTGAAGTCCAGAGTTATATTTTATTTATAAAAACACGTGGCAACAGAATCAAATCTAGGCAATTTAAGCAATTTATTTCTTTCACCAACTCACTTTTGGGGGTCTGTAAATTTCCAACTTAATTCTTCACATCCGGAGTTCAGTACCACAGATTTTCACCTTGGGAGTCTTCTCATAATTTTCCACTTTCTGTTCCTTGTCAAGGATCTGCCTGTTTTTGTTCGTTTCATATCTGTGTTCTTCAAAGGCTTTCAGTCTCATGCTATGCAGGCTTTAGGAGTCCTATAAAATTAGACAAGCTTTTCCTGCACTTTCTTCCTCCCTTTTACTCATGAACTAACTTTCCCAGGTTAGAGAGCTGAAGAAGAGGTCCTGGGAATCTGGCTTAGCCTTGCTGAGGGATGTGGTCAATAACCATGAGGTTATTCCTTTTATTTCTTCCTTTAACGGCTTGTTATGCAATTACATTTTTCAGTTAGTTGCATGTTTTTTCAGTCTAATGATCCTTTTGATGGGGTGACTGTTCACAGACTTATAAACATCTGAAAACTAGAGCAAAGAATGGAAAATATTTTGAAACTTCAGCTGTGATGTGACACAAGTACAATCTCTGATTAAGGGTGTTAAGGGGGCATCCTTCCAGAGCAAGAGAGCATAAGAGCTGTACAATTTGATTAAAAGGTGATTAAGATGCTCCTGTATTTTTCCATGTGAGAGATTTCTATTGATACTACTGAAGATATGGAGTTGTGTGGACTTTGATGCACTGAGATACAAAATAACCTAGCCATGCCCAACACCTCTTTTGACATACTAGGTAGCTTGCAAAGCAGGTAGCTGTTTGGGTCAACTTTATCATTTTCATATCTTGTTCTAAAATCTTTTCCCTGTTTTTCATAGATGTATGCAGGAGCTTGGCACAGCCTGTAGAACGAGCAGAGAAATGGGAGTCTCAGACCTCAGCCCAGGGAACTGACTGAGCGACTTGCAAGGAAATAGTCAGGTCTCGCTGTGGAGTCTCTGCTTGTGGAAATCTGTGACAACTTTTGTTACTGCTTTGATAGATAATGATACCTAAAGCACAGTCACTTGCAGTAATTCCCTGTACTTGTAGACTAGCCCAGAATTAGCAAAACACTCTCAAATCCCCCTCTTCTCGGCAAGTATATTTAACTGTTCAGTTCTTTATATACAGTCTGGAAGAGCATTGAGTTATGTTGCTCTCCAAGTTAGTGGTAGAGCCAGGAAAACAGTCTTATCTTGACATTTCTGGGCTCCCAGTCTGACTAATTGTAGCCATGCTGGTGGGATAATGTCAGGCATAGGGGTTGAGTGTGGATGTTTCTTCCCAGTATCTACTCTGATAGATTAAGAGCTCATTGTTCTTCAGAGCGTATCCTATAAGTAGGACAAACTTGCATGGAGAATCTCCATGTAGAGCTCTTCACTGAAGTTTGTACTTCTCTCTACAAATAGATACTCCAGCTTTTTGTTTTACTCAGTTGTGGTGTTTACATTACACCAGCTTGAGGGGGGAAGGAAGGGAATTTTTCTGTATATTAACTGTCGGGGTGATTTTCTACAGCTGCTTTGAAGCATATGTCTGTTACTTATATTGTAACTTGGATTCTATAGACATATGGCAGAGAACACAGTTCTCCAGAAAGCAAAAGAGTTTGACCAATGGAAAACAGAAGAGAGCAATCCAAGAGAAATCCTGCCAGAGGAGGAGCATGAACCTGAAATTTACTGTTGAAACCAGACTTCTGCCTTGGACTTAAGTACCGCACTCAGCCAGTTCTACCATTGACTTTAGTGTGGCTCTGCACAGATGCAAGGAACAGCTTTTTGGACCTGACTAAGCCTGGAGCTTAAGTATTGTTCTGGCATCCGTGCTGATTTGGAAATACACTGAACTCCTTAAGCAGTGGGACAATTAGAGGGTTTTTTAAAAATCAGAAATGTAGAGAGCCCATGAATCGAGGCTATTCTGGCTTTTACATAGTGAGTTTGTAAAATCAATCAGAAATTGAAGAGGGCATGAGAGATTTCATTTTAGACTATTCAGTCCCTTATTAATTGTATTGCGGATGGCAACAGAGGAAATGTGTATAGCAGACAAGTCTTTTTTTTCTATTTAGTCTACTGTCTGTTGTTCTGACTTTCCGCTTCCATACAGCTCAGCGCTTGCAGCAGCACAAGTCTAAACCCGAACTGCCAAGAACGTTTTGACTCATCTGTTTTTCTGTTTATTTCAGAAGCTGATAGACTTACTGACTGGCAATCATGTCGGTCAAACTCACATTTATCTCTCCTGGTGATGGGGGTGGTATCAGCAGGAGTTGTTCCTTCACTGGATTCAGCACTGTGCAAAGCAGAAAATTAGCGTAAGTAACACAAAAAGAAAAGCACCTGATTGTTTGGGCAACAGACTTTAGGTACTGTGAATGTATTTTTTTAACCTGAGGCATCTATATGTAGAAGCTGTTCCTTAATTTTTATCTTAAAACTATTGAGTGTTGTCATCGTTCACTGATAAATAGCTATACTTCATACTATCTTACTACTGTACATGGTGTACTTCAGAGGTGGCTAGATTTCAGAGGTTATGTATCAGACTGTTAATAGTGTCCATTTCTTTTAGAAAAATGAAGGGCTGCGATCCTTCCTGCTAGCAGCCGAGTAGTAACTGATGTTTTCTGACTAAAACCTTCTCAATAGTTAAGGTAATTAAAAAGATGGGAATGTTAGTGGTGAATCCTGGCAAAATATGTAACTGAACCCAACTCCAGTTCTCCTGGAGTTATTTAAGCAGAGCAGCATTACATGAGAGGAAGGGCTGGTTTCTGGCAATGCCACAAATGAGAGGAAGGGAGGAATACAAACAGGCCAAGAAGGCAACTCCAAATTTGCTGCTACCAGTAACAGGTCTGTAGTATAGCCAAGGTTGCAGTCCCATCTTCAGTTGAGCTCCATAGTTGCTGAACCATCCTGCACTATTTTCCCTTTTTATCATATATTGTTGTGTCGTATTGCTCTACATAGATAACTGTGCAGGTTTTCCACTAGAAGTCCTCTTGTTCATTTTCTGAATTTAGTGATCCCTGTATAGCCTGTCGAGTGCTTTTAGAAGATATGATATATAAATGGAAAATTAATATAATCTCTGACAATGTGTGCTAGAATAATAACAATGTGAATAATTTAGCAGTATCATATAGAAGTGTTGGAAAGTATGTCTGCAAAAGTATTATACTCAAAAAATCCTATTGTATATCAGTAAATTACCTGACTCAGGTCATAAAATATCTTTTAAAAGAACCAAATGACTGAATTAACCTTTCAGTTAAACCCAGCATGGTAAAGTATGAGCAAAAAAGAAATTCCAGCATGATTGTGGTGTAATCAAGAAGTCTTCACATTTGAATATATTAATTTGTTGTGGAAGTGAAAAATATTATTACACCTAGCAAAGGTCAGACATCTAAAATCACACCGATCACTAAGATCTTGAGAAAAACACTGTCAATAAATTATATAAACAGACTTGAGCTTGAGTACATAGTGGGAGTTCTAGCAGGGAAAGGATCTACCAGGAAAAACAATGAACAGCTGTTTCTCCAACAAAGGCACTGTCCAGCAGGGTAAGAATGCTCCAAACAGAAGAGTTCATATATCCCTTAAGGTTATTCTGTTATTTTTAGCTGCAAAGTTCTTTTTAACCAAATACATCTCTTGATGCATTTTTTATGATGTTGCTTTTCATTAAGTGTTTAGACAGACAGTTTTGTTCACGAATCACTGTAATAAGGAAAATTTGTGTACTAGATACTCAGTCACAGCCCAGTGAACACCCGAGAGCCTTCCCCAGCATGGTGCAGAAATTTTTTAATCACCTTTTCCTAACTTATCTCTCCCTCAGGCACTGTTGCAAAACACAGCAGGAGAGTGCAGGGGCCCTATGCAAGGTCAGTCCAAAGGATGACACACAAATCAGGTCCACATGGAGATTCTTAAGCAGACGCTAAATATACTTTTGCATTTCTTTAGCAACTTCCTTTTGAGGCTCTCAGGCAGACACACTATATCATTTTTCCTCACAATGGTCTCCACGGAAGTAAATGTTATTACTGTTATCTATAAAACGGGAAATCTGATACTTAAATTATGAAGTTCACAAGAGAAAGCAGCAACATAGCATCTATCTTTTAGCTACTGCCCCCAAAAGCCCATGTCAGCCACTTAACTGTTCTTTGAAGTGTATGAAAATGGGATTCTTAACACCAGTGCACTGAGTACATATGGGCTGCATCAGTCAGTAGGAGAGACTAAGGCAAGTGGTGAGTTCTAAATCCCAACCTATCCGAATGCGGTGCTTAGATGCTATACTTTAACTGAAGGGAAATGATTTCCTGAATTTAGGATTTAGAGTCCAGAACGCTGAAGATAAATATCAAAGGCCTTTCCTTTCCAAAAATAAACAAATCCCAGGAGTAATTTGGGCTTTTTAATTATGAAAGATAAAATCATCTTATATCTTCTGCATAGAACCAGATACTATTTCCTTCTTAGCATTAAAGAATTTTAAGTGATGATCCTTCTAGGAGACTCTTTCAACTGCTGTTATTGGCTAGAGTGTCCTTTCCAGAATTATTCTGATGAAACCCTCTCACTTTGCATGTAATACTCAAAGATTCATTGTCTTACAAAAGAAAACAATATTAACATAAGTTTCTAATTTAACAGTTATGTTCCTCATTATAGGTAACCTGAGCTCCAAATGGCCTGGTTAATTAATATGTTAATTAATTAACCCATCACAAAAAACTAAGATAACAATTGGGTTGAAGAAATTAAATATCCTGTAAAGATTGTCAACACCTAATTTGATCAGATTTTTTGCAGATTATATGTTAAAAAATGGAGTTAAGTGGAGATTTAGCACCAGGATAGTTAAAGTAGTTGAGGGTTTCTATAATAGGACTGTGGACAGCTCTCAGGTGTGCTGGGCCTAGGATTTAATCACCAAGCTCAATAATCTTCTTAGGCCTTCAGTCACATGCCTAGAACTTAAAACAGCCGGTGGCTAAGCCTGTTGAAGTTCATCATTTCTCCAGGTGAGCTGAATTTGGGATAGAGAGTATAGAGAAGGTAGAAAGCTTCTCTGAGAGCAACTAGTTGGCTTGGCAGGATTTGGTGGAATGGGAAACTTCTTTAGATAATGTTATTTCAGAGGCTTGACCTACAGGGAGTATTAACAAAACTATATAAAAATAACCAAGACTTAGAGAAGTATATAGCTAGAGGTAAGCCAGCTGGGAGTCTGATAATGTGAAAGAACCATTTGCAGAGAGCTTGTTTTCTGGTTTAAATGTTGTAGATATGTGCAACTAATGGCTTGGGGTGTTCTCTTTAGGTTAGTAGAGAAAAATGCTGTGTGGGGGACTTCTGTTAGAAACAATATTTAATTTTGGTTTTGCACTTGCTTTTAAAAGTAAGTGAGATGTTAGACACTGAAAAAACAGCCTGATAATTGTATCTTATATGCAGTCTGGGGCTTGGTAATTGGCTTTTCTGAAATGTGGTGCAGCTCTACTCTAAGTGATCATTTAAATGGATGGTGAATGCAGGCAGAGAAGTAGCTATTTCTAAAGGCTTTTTATGTTAGCTTTATTGGCTAGACCTTAAGGAGATCAAAAGTTTGTTGCCTCATTTTCCTGGATTGCAGGTGGGAGTCAGAATGGGAATGTCCTTGTCCTGTAGTGTGGCTTACTTTAGTTCTGTAGTTACCCAATAACTGGTGTGAACGTACACACGGAGGCAGGGCCTTAGCAAGCTGCCGTGTGTGTCTGTTAAGACAATTGCTAGCAATATGAACATTGACTTGTTATAAAAATGAGCTTTTATTTTTCTTGCTTAGTGCCTCCCCTACCTTCCCAAAGAAATGGGGACCTGCACAATTTTTCTTTATTTGAAAAAGATAAAAGAGAACTGCTAGGCTTCTCAGAGTCTGCATCAAGCTTGGAGAAGGAGGTGTTTCTTATTGGAATTAGTATTGTTGAAGTCACAAAAGACTTGTAGCTTTTCTGCTCTAGGTATTTAGGGCTGACCCTTAACTTCCTAATGTTATCTGTGAAAGTATTCTCAGGATGTCCAGGAGTGTTCCTCTTTTGAGTAAACACGTATGGAATTGGGAATGTAACTTGTAGCCTGGAAGAATTGTGGCTTAGGTATCACTTTTCTCCCAGGTGATGGGGTTTGCATATTTTCCATATTTCTTTTCTGTCTCTGCAGAAAGTCTCTCAGCAGAAGTTCAGTGAGATCAAGAATGTCCCTGAAATCCCCCAAGGCTTATAATTCCCTGCAGAAGGGGGCAGTCATCTGGGATCCAAAGCCGCTGCAGGTGAAGAAAATTTTTGAAGCTTTGAAGAAAGGACTTAAGTAAGGACTTTAAAAATATTGTAATTTGCCTTTCCTAGTCATGCTGCTTAAGTCTGTGTATCACTGTTCTCTGTCTCCATCTGGCATCTCTAATATATGTAGTTACTTTCCCAGATACTGGCTTGGGACCTTGTGAAACAAGTTTCATTCACTCTCAGACAGCCTGCTTGCAAACAAAGTGCTCTGATGTTTTTGTTTGTTCCTAGTTTGTTACACTTCTCTGAAAGGTCAGTGACAGGTAGAATTCTCTGGGGAGATTCTGCCCCTCTTAGGGAGCAACTGAGCTCTCTGGAGGAAAAGAGGCTTTTGAAGCATGCAGGGTGGCAGGCAGGAAGCCTGCAGATCAAGCAGAGACTTGGATAGGGATTGGACAGCAAGACCTGGGGGTGATTGGCAGAAAGTTTCTGGAGAGGGAGCTGTGTGACTTTGCTTTGAGTCAAAAAGCTGACTTAAAACTAGTCTGAAAGCGAGGGTGTGCCCTGCAAGGACACAGTGGGGAGGCTGCTTCATAAACCATTTCTATTCTCGCTAAGCTAATTAGAAAACACTTAAAGAGATATTCTACTGGGAGGTTTTTTTTGTGGGTAGGTGTTTTTTTTCTTTTAACAGAATTAAATTCTGGAGTTCAAGTGCTCTCTTTCATCTCTGGGTGGCTCATTATAAGGGCAGAGCTGCTCGTCTAAGCAGACCCACCTGAAAACTTCAGCTCACTTGAGGTGATGAAATGGAGCTGTAGTACAACTCCATCTCCTTGTGGCAATGTAAATAACATTATCTTGCTTTACATGTAGTGCTATTTCGGAGTCTTTGTAATGGTTGCTGCACAGTCAGTGTTGCATTAGTATAGACTTGAGTGAAAAGGCTGAAGACCAATTTTGTCTGTTGTCTCTGTTTGGCACATGTGGGGTGTATGCAGCAGACATAACAGAGATCAAAGGATGGGCTGGCAATCTGAATTTAGGGTATTCTGGCTTTGAGGAGGCTGTTGGTTACCTCATAGAAACACTGATGTTATTCAGTGCTGAAATGGCAACTAAAACGTGGATGAGCTTGCTTTCTTGGCCTTATAGACCAGAAAGGGAGTGGTGGTAAGTGCTGTTTGCCTCTATCAGTGGTAGAAACAGATCTGAGAGGTAGCAACCTTTAACCAAGTTCTCAAATCTCATTATATAAAAATACACACCTTAAATTGATGCAGTTAATGTTGAGGGGTCTAGTCTAATATTGTTGGAACTTCATTTACACCCTGAAGCTACTACCAGTATATAGAATACCTTTTCTTGGGTTTGTAAACCCTGCAGCTCTTTCTGCTGGCATCCTACTGACGGTTCCTTCATGTATGTTGCTGCTGTCCTCAGAATTTTGCTACTGTATTAATTCTGACCATAGTTTGTTTTCTTAAACAAAGAACATTAAACACACTGTAATAATACATTGTTAACTCAGATGTGTCATTTTTTTATTCCAATAAAAGACTATAAATTCTTAGCCCTAAAAAATATCAGTCAATGTGTTATTAGTGGATTTTGATTTAAAACAAATAGTGAAACCACATGTTTTTGCAGAGTTGAGAATTTATCAGAGTTTAGGGAGGAGAAACCGTAAAGTGGGTCAGAATTTGTTCCCAGTTCTGCAGAGAATGCCATATGATCAGACTCCTGCCAAAACTGAGTAGCTAACTAATTGACTAAAGTAACCTACAGAAAACAACTGTATCAAATAGCAATGCAAGGTCCAAATTTTAAGTAGATGCAGACTAAGTCCACTTGTGCTGGAGTGACTTGAATTTTTAGTAAGGAACATATTTTATGTGCCTGTTTCTTTATAGCTGTAGCAAATATCTCTTTATTCTGTTAACCATCTGGGTGCCATTCCATCAAGCTAGCAATTCCAACATGCTTAAGTCTCAAAGCAATGCAGCTCTTCTAAAAGGAAGGTGAACTCTTTTCTGCTACCAGCCTTGGCTACTTCTGCACTGAGCTGTTAATAGGCAAGTGTAAAGAGCAGAAAGCTGAATGCTGGAGCCACGGGGTGTCTTGGGGAAACTGGTTTTGTAACAGTAAGAAAATGAAATACATCAAAGCAAATGGGAAAAAGAGCAGCTGTCTAAAATGAAATTATTTTGACTGCTCAGAGACTGTTGTCTTACAGTATTTACCAGGCAACTCTTGTTCCCTTTTAAGCCTAAGGGGAGAAAGTTACCTAGGTCTGCTCTGTATTAAAAGCAAAGCTGGTAGAAAAAACTACCTGTGGCAACTCCCAAGGGACAACCTTTTCATGCAAGCAACTGTATAGAAGCCAACCGGCACCAAGTGCTTCACACCTTGAAAAATAGTTCCCATTCCAGGAAAAAGTAATGGTTACATTAGGAAATTGTCTAGCATACTAAAAGGTGGTATTTGACTGTGTTTGCTAAAACACAATGACACGTGCCCTATGTTACAGGTGGAGGAGTAAATCTGTAACCTTCCATGAAAGGTTCCAGAAGGCCAAAGAGGAATAGAGAAATTGGAAAAGGAGATCAGTGAGCTGGGTTATGCGTGTGTTAGAACTTGCTGTTCTCCTCCTACATCCCTCTTTTCCTCTTGCCTTCAGTGGTACTTATAGCTCTACTGTCTTGTTTCGTTTTGCCTCACATTCTCAATAAAGTCTATCTTTCACTTGAATGATCTGTTTTAGATGAAGGGAAACAAGAAATAGTGAATGTCTGAGTGCAGTGTGTACATGTATATATACCTTATGCAGCAGTGGTGGCCTTGAATTGCATTGCAGCATTCCACATCTTGGAGGAGTAAAAAGGATTCAGGAGGATTCCTAATGTACAGCATCTTTAAATGTTAGGCAATAGTAACCAGCATCTCCTGGCACTCGTTGTGTGCACGTTCCTCAAGCAGTGACTTTGCATTTAGGACAAATATTTGTATATGGAAACCATTCTTTCTCATCTGTTGTCCCATGTTTCCCTATATAGCAATTTGCATCTCTAGAGAGTAAAACAAGAGAAGTCTTCTAGAGAAGGAAGTTGTTTTGTAACATTGTGCTGAAAAATTATTTGTGGAGGTGTTATAATGAGTGCACCAGAATAATGTTGAGTTTTCTTCCTCTCCAGTGAATACTTGGAAGCACATCAGGCTGAACTGGATTATCTCTCTGGTCGACACAAAGACACAAAAAGGAACTCCAGATTGGTAAGATGCTTTTAATGTTAAATACTTAAGTGACTTTAAAAATAAAGTCACAAAAGTAGATCCTCTCTCACATCTGGGACTCCCAGAGGTTTTCCAGTTAAAGCACCGAGGTGAGGTCCAGCAAGGCATCACAATCAGAAATTTACCAAGCAAGTTAGCTCTAGATGTGAGAATTAAACTTGGGATTTCTCATTTTCAGTATCCAGCAGTGTCCTTCAGATCATGTTCCTTTACTGTGATGGTATCTCTTTGTGTCTGTTTAGTGATCAGTGTTTGTACCTGACTCTGTACAGACAGAAATGGTGATAAAGATTGGGCTTTGTTTTCCATAGTTGGTGAATGTGTCCTTGTAACTCGCATTCTGTCATGTTCACAACTCCCTAGAAGTGCTTTCAGCAACAGTGCTAATGTAAAGACAGCTCACAGATCCAACTTTGCCTTTTGTTTGGGAAATAATAGCTAGAGTAAAAAAAAATGGAAAGTCCCACATACTGTGACCAATGTCCAAGTCCTTGATAGAGCTGGTGGTGAGACTCTTACTGTCTCATTTCAAGCATCTCTGCAAACAAACCAACCGATGAAGTTACTTCAGTGTAACTTAGATATGCATAGTGAGTCTTGCAGTAAAAATTAAAGTATTGTTAATATGTATAAATATAAATGCTCTCCTGTTCAGCCTGTGCTATCTCTCTTTCAGGCTTTCTACTATGACCTGGATAAGGTAAGACTTGTGAGGATAAGATGAAATGTTGCAAATAGAGAAAAATGGATGATGTGTCTCCTGTGTTACTTAAAGGCATGTTTAAGAAATAATTTCTCAAGTCCCCCTGCCTCTTTCCTCTCTTCAAAAGCAAATCCGCTCTGTGGAGAGATACATCAGAAAACTGGAGTTTCACATAAGCAAGGTAACATGTTTTATCTCTTGTATATGTAAGGCTTACATTGCTATATAAGCAAACTAAATAGAAAATAATTTGATTATAATTCATCTGAAGGGGAATAATAGTGGGTACTTTCTGAAAGCTGTAACTGCTCTTTTTACAGAAGGAGGGGACTTTTATTTATTGTCTTGAATTCAGGCTGAATGTTGGACACAACCCAACCTGAGTTTGCCTGTGAAACCAGTTTGCATGCTCTGACAGTTTCTTCGGAAGTGCTGCTGTGGGAAGGCTTACATGTTCTCCCCACTGCTTCCCACAAGGGACCCAAGGGGCAGTTCTGTAGAGTGCGTGTCTGCTGGCTGCCACCTGCTTCCAAAGGCATCAAATCTCTCCTCTGACTTAGCTAAAGGTGTAGGTGTTTTAATCTGTATTGAGGGAATCAGTTTCCTGTTCCCCAAGTAACTTTTCCCTGTAGAAAGTGTTACCCTACTCCTTGTCTTCTAGTCTGATAATAGCAGAGGAAATTGTTTCTCAATATCCCATGCTTTTTTGCAGGAATGTTTACAAACTGTTGTACTCTGATCAGTCTGTAAAATGCAGGGGTTGCAGCATTCTCCAATACTGTGGTCGTGGGATTTAGTTGGGTTTTTTGCCAGGAAAGACTGCTGATGTTCCTTTCCAGAACTTATTAAAACTATGCCAGGGTAATTCTTGTTCATTCTTCCCCTGCCTCCTAAATGTTAAAGGTAGAAGAACTCTATGAAGCTTACTGTATCCAGTGCAGACTACGAGATGGGGCCACTAATATGAAACATGCCTTTTCCTTGTCTCCTTCCACCAAAGCCTCCAGAGAGAGCCTAGTGGAGCTTTACAAGAACTTCCAGGAGTGCACAGAGGTAGGAAATATTAGACATGTAACAAAAGCAAAAATGGTACCAGGGCTTGCTGCTGGCTTTTTTTAATGGTGTGGGTTAAAAACTTAACATGTAAACAAAATACAGGTACGTAATGTGAACCAAAGTATGTGAGATAAATACCCTGCAGGCAAAGCTGTTGAATTCTGTGCCCCTCTTTTGCCCTCACTTAACTTGGCTTCATGCGTTCATAAAGACAAGTGAAAAATCGTTTGAATTTCTGCTTTAATACAGGGGTCCATTATGATTTCCACTGGAAGTAATGGGATGAGAATTGAATAATGAATAAGCTATGCTATTTTTATAAAACAAGCAGTGGAAGGTAACTGATAGTGAACTGCTCATGCAGTTCCACTATTCTGTGGAGAGGCATCACGTTTTTCTATCTTAAAAGTAGTATGAGTGGACTCTGTATCAGCCTCCATTAGTGAAAATGTAAGTCTGTGTCCTTTTTTAAAAAAAAAAGCTAAAGTCCTTTAAAGAAAATGGCGTGTATGGGAAGGTAGCTACTCTGTGCTGCTTCTCAGTCATAGTGACCGTTCAGTCTTTCTTCTAGGACATGTGCTTTATAGAAGGGGCATTGGAGGTCCATTTGGGAGAGTTTCACTTGAAGATGAAAGGTAAGTTGCTTTTTTATTTCCTTCAAGACTCATCAATTGATTTTGGGTTTCCTGTGTATCAGTCTGATCCACAGCAAGTCCATTTATCCAATGTCAGTTGTTTCCACTGGCTTTCTGGATGAGACCCTGAACAGAATTTTGTCAAACTTCTGTTTGCTTCCGTGCTATAAAACCAGGTCTGCAATGGTATTTTATATTTGAGTACAAAAGCTGACAAGCTTTCTTTCCTCAGGTCAATTAAAGTTTGTTCTTCTAAGAGTGTTCTGGGCTGATGGCCTAGCTTCTGCACAGGGGGTGTTAGCCAGATAGTCCCTTTATTCATTGCAAGCTGAGGCTTTGGAGGACATTGTAAAATTCTATGAGTATTAAGAGTTTTCCTTCTCTTTTCAGGGCTGGTGGGCTTTGCACGTCTCTGCCCAGGGGACCAGTATGAGGTGCAGTATGCAGTGATTCATTTTGTCCTTTATTTTACTGCTGGGAGTTTGCAGAAGAGGAACAGGAGAGCAAGGGTGCAACATGTAGAAGGCGAGCAGGAAACAGACTGATAAAACTGTGCACTGCTCTGATGAGACCAGTGCTTTGGCCCCTTCACTAGTTACACTGCCCTTTGAGACTGAAGAAGGAAGGATGTGATTCAAGTGTTATGGGAGGGTTTAAAAGATGGCAGTGTCTATCAGAACCAGCATGTCAGGTCTTTGTTTTCGAAGTTGCCCTGGAATCAAGTTAAAGTTGCTGCCCGTTTCTTGGAAGATTGCCCTTGGCATGATTTGAATGCATCTTAGTATCTTACTGAGCTGAACTACTTGTAACAGTTCCAAATGAATTCCAGGGTGCCTTGTATTTCAGTCCTGCTACACTTGCTATGCAACGTAGCTTTGCAGCTCTTCTGAAAGAGGTGGGACGTGTCATCTGGCACTGAGTGAAGGTGTTAAAACCTGCAACCTGAATTCCTGCCTCCAATCTTCTAGCTTTATCCAAGTCTAAATGTATAGTGATCAAAGGAGTGGCTTTGCCTCTGCGGTACTGGAGCAGTGTGAGGCCTATGGGACTGAAAGGGATGTTCTGGGACACGTTGACCCAATATCCTTTTGTCGTCTTGGTTTCTAGGTGTTTGTGCGACTGGGGCGCCAAAAATGGAGGTTGAAAGGCAAGATTGAGACTGATGACAGCCAAACATGGGATGAGGAAGAAAAGATTTTTATACCCAATCTCCATGAGAAGTTTGAAATCAAGGTGTGGTGTATAATGGTTGGATTGGAATCAGTGGGTTAACAGAACTTCTGACATACTGCTTACCTGTTAGGCTACCAACCGTTTGTCAAAATGCTGGAGCCGTTTTATTTTCCTAGCCATGTAGAAATCGTGGTTCATCAATATTCTGCCTACTGAACAGACATCTACTTCTGTTTTTCCTTTGCTCTTGGCACTTGTAACTGTATTAGGGCATCTGCTTTCCCGTGTTCTGGAGTCTGGTATATGTGGCTGGTTTTTTTATAAAAAAAAAAGTCCTAGATCAATATCTGAGATTTTCTAGGGTGAAGTCTAGATGCAGACACAAAAAGATGTATTTGTATATATTATTTATATCACCCATGTGGAATATTAAGTACCTGGAGTTCTGCTCTCTATCGAAAATGAGAAATATTTATATGGAAAATGTATCGTTGCAGATGTGTATGTTTAGAATGTGTAGTTCAAATGTCCCTTTTGCTGAGCGCGCTGCAGATTCTTTCCTCATGTTTTACTCCAGAGGTGCTCTGTATCTGCGAAGAACCAATGGCATTTATACACTAGTACAAACTGTCTGTACTTTATATCTTTATTTAGTGTTCTGACACTTATTGAAGTGCCTCAGAAGAGGTTTATCTTTAACAGTAAGAGACCAGTGCTAGTGGCCTGTGACACGTAGATGACACATTGCTTCCCTCGGGGGAAGCTTGTGGTTTTCATAGACCCTTGTGCAGCTGCCAGTGGCACTGGTTTTGGCACTTACCTAGGAGGTGGAGTTAATCCTTAAACAGCATTTCCACTGTAGTCTGGCAGCTTTTGTGGGCTGGACTCTGCAGCATGACTCCTGTCAACCCAAAAGGAGCTGAGATCGAAGGCTGTGCTGGATCCTATTCTATGAGGAAACTGTGCCAGTGCAGGGTTTCAAGTTTTGGCAGCTGTGTTAAAGCAGCTATTGCAATGTTCCCCTCCTATCTGGCAGCAAGAACTGAGTTACATAGGAGAGACTCTTTGGCATCTTGCCAGCACAGTCTTTGGAAATGCGCTTATAACACGTTTCTGTGCTGCCACTGCACAATGAAGATCAGGTGAGAGGCTAATTCAGATCCCTGTTTTCCCATAAGAGTTGTAAAAACTTCTATTACTTTGTGTGACAATGATAGCTTTACTCTTTTTGTCAGCTTATGAAAGTTCTCCACACCCTCCTGCTCTTACCACTTTGTACTTAATAATCTTTGCCCAGTACAAATGCATAGCAGATTTAAAAAAAAAAATATTTGAGAAGTGCCAAAGAGTGCTCCAAGAGGAGCCTAGCAACATAACTTTTGCTAGCTCTTAAAGGAGATGTGGGCATGGAACTAATTCCCAAAGTGGTCTTTAGGCACTTGTGCTAAAATTCTGTGCTGTGCCTGATGCTTTATGCACTTCTAGAATAATTTGATCATCAGTTGGAAGTATGTTTTTTATAGCAAGTGTTCGACTAGATTTTTTTCTTTTAAGTAGTTGAAGAAGCAAAGTGCTAGCCTGGGAAAAATGCAGTCCTATAACAGTATTGGTAACAAACTTGGAGACACCTGCAGTGCTAGAAGAAAGAACTGACACTTAAAAGGTCCAATTTTGGTCCACAGCTGAGCTCAGGACAGTTAGCAAGGTCACAGTGGATACAGACAGTTGTGCTTCCAGATCCTGTAGGCAACTGAGAGCTGAAATAGTCTAGTGTAGGTAGACACATACATTTTTATGGTAGTGTTGTTCTAATATGTAGACGAGCTAGACTCTGTACTATAAATGACAGCTACTTTTACGTATATCAGAGCTAGAATTTTCAAATTTCAGACTAATTTTTCTTAAGAACATAGTGTACCAAATTCTATTGTCAGAAGTGCTGTACAGCTGTCTCTCCCCAGCTCATAGAGCTCCTTTCCTCTTTGCCAGCCATCTGTGACATACTCCTTGTGGGGATGTTGCCTCACAAGAGAGCCCAGATTTGTGTAGCAAGGTTTTAAGTTTCCTGTGGGCCTCAGAGCAGGTCCAAGCCTGGAGTGTTCTCCTTTCCATGCACATGACTTGGGATTGTCTGGAAAGATGAAAATGGATATGTTTGTCTGTCCCTGTAGGTGACAGAGCTGCGAGGACTGGCCACTATTCTAGTTGGTGTTGTGACATGCGACAGCATAAACTTCTTTACAACCAAGCCTCAGGCAATCATTGTGGATATAACTGAACTCGGCACCATCAAGCTACAGCTGGAGGTCCTCTGGAAGTAAGTACAGCTTCAAATGAAAAAAGCTGGAGCTAAACATTTGAAAAAGAAAAAAAAAAAAAGAAAAAAAAGGCTCCTAAGTATGTCACTTAGTAGTATTCAACATCAGAGTCCTCTTTCTGTTTGCAGAGCAGGTGCAGGATAGATAGCAGCCACATGCTTCCTCACAGCAACCCCCGCTTCTTTGCCTCCTCTCTGACTCTGTGGGACCGGTCCTCAGGAAGGGGACGGGGAAAGGGACAGAAGCGATTTCTGTGACCCTGCAGTTCTTTGTGTTGATGTTCCCAGAGCCATGGCTAGCCACATCAGCTGACTAGTAGGCTTTGACTTAGCTTACTGCTCTTTAGAATGAGTGTTCAAGTCTAGCTCCAAGCAATGTACGTACCTCTATAAAACATGAACAATCATCTTAAAGATAAAATGAAACTAAGTATAGTAGCTTCTAGGCACAATGAAAAATATATAGTTGAAATTTTAGGACAATCACTATTTCCAGGCCAGAAGTTGTTAAAAATGAAGCTTTCCCCAAGACTTAGCACCTTCATATTTGCACTATCATTACAGTTATTGATATATATATACACTCTTTGTGCACTACAGGGAAGCTTGGTTACAGATGCACTTTTAAAATAGTTGAGTATTTTCATTGTGCCTGTGACTTGTTACATTATTTTATAATTTAAATTTGTAAATTGATTTTTGTAGTGAATTGCTGATGTTATTAAAAGCAAATTCTCACTTTTGTGGATGCTGTGCTGGAACTTCTTCCTCACTCTAGACCATAGATTTTTGAAGCAGTGCTGTTATTTCTGCTTGACGGGACTGTCAGTCCATACTGAGAGTCTTGTCTGCAACAAATCAAACTTAACCATTTACTGGAGTTAGAGGGGTTAAATCTAGTTGTCTTAAGGAAGTGCCCAATTAAACAACACTCTACACTTGTAGTTTTGTATATGGCTTACCGCAGTGCTCAGTTCTTCCCAACTCAACATGGCAAAGAGGCATTTGAACACACCTCCATGATAAGAACCTTCTTGAAAGGCCACTTTGTGACGATCTAGGCAAGGAAAAGCAGAAACCGAAGTGTTTAGGTTAGGAAGGGCAGGGAGCTATGCCTTGCAGACCAGACTTGCCTATGACTCGGCCTTCTCCTGGCCATGCTGGTTTCTTGTTTTCTTAAAAGTTACCCAAAATAAAAAAAAAACCCTGTATGTGTTGAATATGTGGTCAGACAAATGTGCCCAAGAGCCAAAGAGGTCTTTCAGTAAGAGAAATGTTTCCCTGCCCTTAGGATAAAGTAACCAAATGTATTTTACAATCAAACTTGATTTTTTTCAGGTCTTGATACCTTTTTTTCCTACTTTTAATTACCTTTGGAAGCACTGTTTGACTTAAGCTTTGTCGTAGTCTTTTAAGCCACCAACAGGAGAAATGCCACAAAGGTTTTTTTGTTGCAATTCCTGTTCAAGTGTTGATAAACAGTTTTCAGGTTGCATTTCTGGAGCTGGGGAAAGAAAAGCTTTACTGCTTAACATACTATTTTCTGAATGTCTTTTGTGTATGCTGTGGTTCTTGAAATTTGCTGTTGACTTGTACATGCAATTGGGCTGAAACATGAGACTTGGCAACAGCATCTGAAAGTTATTTTCAAACACACACATTGCTCTAAGTCAATGAGAAATAAACTCCCCCAGCAGAGTTTTGCCCATACCTGTTTATGACACTTTTTCCTCCTGAGATGTAACAATGGGAATCAGTGTATGTTTTGTTTTGGTGAGGTGATGCAGCTGCTCTGAGGCTTTTGAGGCCTCTGCTTCTTATTTGAGAAGCTGAGCCACTACTTAGTTGGGTAACAAAGCCTCGTTCCAGAAGCTTGCTGTGATCTTGCATTATGTGCCCTATGAAACTTCCTTTTACTTATGCCTAGTTGCGTATGTAGTCCCATTTGAATCTGAAAACAGACGTTCATAGTAGAGTTATTGAAAACTCTGTGGAGTGGAGATAGTGCAAGTTGCATTATTTTTTTTTTTTAAGTAAAAGTATCTCCTACAATGACAGCCCTTTTAAATCAAGGCCAATTAAAATATTGTGGTGTTTTGACATTCACATGTTTTAGTATCGGGGAAGGAAGGAGAGAAGAGAGGCACAGAGGGATATAGCAGCTCATGTATCCCCAGCAAATTCTGGTGCCTTTATGTGTTATCTCTCACCCTGCAAGAAACATACGCCACCAAAACTTGCATTGGCTTTAGTCTGGATCTAAAATGATCAAAAGCTCTCAACCCAGTTTCAGACCAGAAAGGTGTGGAGGCAGAACCTTCTGCTTCCAGAGATGCTTTTCATATAAGGGAAGTCTCTTTTTCCCTAACTTCAAGCCTAACATTGTAAGAAGCTTTACTTGTGCAGTGCAGGAGACATAATTTCTTTGTTGAACTGGGTATAAGGTCTGGTTTTGCCCTCATATGGGAAGTGCTGTACCAAGAGATAGCACATTTGTAGTGGAGTCTGGAAGAATCACTTCTCTCTCCTTGGTAACCCACACAAACAACATCTAACAGAGATTCACTTCATTTACTTTCGCTGGATGTACTTGCTTGTCTTTCCTCACTGTTGATAACTTGCATAAATAATTATGCACTTGAGTTGTTCTTCCAAAAGGACCATCTGAGGAAACCCCCTTCCTATTCTGGGATATTGCAGTGTCTCAGATAGCAGCCTAATTCTCCAAAGCAAATTATATTTGTGACAACATTTTCTAGAAAAATACAAAAATTTCAAATTATGTTCACGCTTTATTGTTGCTAGTAGCTCATAGCTCAGAGTTCAGCTTTCAGTTGGCAAGATGAGCACTTCTGTGGCAGTTGGGACAACCATTACCCGGCTTTTAGAGTTGGCAACAGCTGAGCTGGGAGCAGGGTTTCTTTGGGAGGTAATCCCCACTCAGAATTTTTCAGTGCATGAGAAAACTCTGGCTGTGTGTCTTTGCTTAAGTTTTGTGAAATGCGTTGGTGTCCTACCAAGTGGATTTTCCAGAGCCCTTCTGCACAGAACTGGCAGGCTCCTCCTCTTTGATAGCCTGTTTGCTGAAGTTATTTACAGTAAAGAGAAGTTGTGTAGTGATAACTCAGGGTCTTTCTATTTTCAAAGACCGAGCACTCAAAATAACAGCTGCTTTTTTCTTTGATTTAAGAATAATGAAACAAATCCAGCTGATTTGCCCAAACTTCCCTGTGAGGCAAGCTTTCAATGTAGACTTGCTTTGTGAGAAACCCAAATGTAGGTCACTCTTCCACTTACAAATGTATATTTTCTTTAACAGGCCACTAGTTTTCTGGGCTCTAATGAAAGTTCCTTCAAGTCTTTTACAGATGATGCCACGAGGAGTGTGAATGTGCTTGAGCCTGTTGCAGAACAGCTTTGTTGGCCAGTTTGGCAGAAGATGTTGGGTTTTTGCCAACCTAAGCAGCAGTCTGAATTCTGTCTGTCTCTCCTATGAAGGACAAAGAGAAAGCCTGTGTTCTCTGTTCAGAACTTCAGTTAGCACCCCGTACTGGGATCTGAGGGTGCCAGCCAGCCGGAACCACTCTGGTGATTTCTGCCTGCTTTGAGTGTGTGCTGGCCTGGCTCACAAGGGTTCATGGAGTAAAAGAAGAAAAAAAAAAAAACCTAAGGGAGAAAAAAGAAAAAAGGAAAGTCTGGGGTTTTAATTTTAGATACATACCTACTGACAGTCTTGCTCTTATAGATAAAAACTTAGGTGAAGAGGTGGTTACTCATGCAGGTATCTTTAGGCAGTGGTCCATCAGTGCACATCTGTGCTTTTGATGGGAGTGATGTTCCATAGCTTAATCTTGTGATAAGCTGTACTAACCGTGAAACTGGTGCTTATTACGCTTTACTGGGTAAGAGAAACCTAACAACAGTCACACTGTTAAAATTGCATGGGCATTTTCACATGTGTTCAATGGGGGGGGAAAAAAAGAAATCTCATGACTAACAGTGAGTCCAATCCAGTTGACCAGAATTGGGGTTTTTTTGTATTAATGCAAGTCTGGATTCACAGGCTTAGTAGTGGGATTCAGACAGGTCTGTCCACCAAGAGCCCTTCTGGTTCAGTGGTATTTAATACGTGGAACAACGGTAAAGAAGGGGAATGATTAGGGCACGGTCCTGGCAGTGGGAGAAAGGAATGCAGGTCCTCTGGGGCTGGAGGCTGAATTGAGTTCAGCTCTTGTTTGTTCTGCCTGATCTCTTGTGTTCCTCTGAGGACATAAACCAGGAAGTGTCCTCCTTACACACCCGACAGGAAAATGAGCAGGGTGAGGAAAATGGTAGAAATCACAAGTATTTCATCCCTCCGCAGCTTTGGTGGTTATGACAAAATAATGTCTCCCTGGGAATCCCTGCTCAGTGCTGGCAAGGCTGAGGCACTTCTGAATGCGTGCAGATGCAAAGCTGCTGATGCTGTGGGAGGTTCAATCTAGGAAACATGAGCTCTGACGAACTGTGAAGCCCTTCAAGGTCATGCTGGGCATGTGTGTTTTGGACCCGAACACTGAAGTCCCGCAATGGTGCTAAGGCAAGCTGAGAGAGTTACGTGCTGCATTTACCTTGGCCTTAACAACGATGGCACTGTGGGGTTGTGCGTTTAATGCCAATAGTGTAATTAGTCATAACCAAGGGCTAGCATGTTTGGCAGCACAGAAACAGAATGGGGACAACAAAGATGATCAGAGATGTGGGGCTGCTTTCGGTTTTTTAATAGAATTTCTCAGTCTTGAAAAGGTGTTGATGGATAATACTGTAGAGCCACATAGATGTTCGCTGTGGGAATGCGGAAAGGGAATGATGAGCCACCGCTTCTCTCAGTACAGAACCTGCCTTAAGTCAAAGTACTTGTTCCACAATTTAAAGTTAAATAATGAAACTTCTGCATCCTTTTGACCTATACAGAGATCTTGTGTCAACGGTATCAGGAAGTGACTAGACAAACCAAGGAAAAGTGTGTGACAATTAAGGGCAATAGTCTGCTTGCAAAGTCTGGTGCATGACAGATCAGAGCTATGGATTGCCTCAAATTTGAGTGTGTGTCTGGGGAAAGCCTACTATATTTGACATTTCTCCTATGCTTTTCCCCTGCATATCCCCCACTGGCTTCTGTCAATGTCAAGGTGCTGGAGAGAGGGACTCATAGATCTGTCCCAGTGTGATGTTTTGTTTGTTATACAAATGTGGAACAAGATGATGGCTCATAGCCAAAGAGCTTATAATCAAGAGATAATAGATGCTTTACAGCAGACTTCATTCTTTCCTTCACCCTTTGCTTTGCTCTCTCATTATCTGGCAGTTTGGAGGGCAGCTGAGTAGCTGTATTTTGTTAGAGGGTTTCAGTAATTGTCAAAGAGGCAAAATGGATTTAGCTTGTTATTCCTGTCCCTTTCCTCTAAAGTGTCATTTTGCATTACTGCATTGCTATATTAAAAGCTAAAAATGAAAAATCTGAGGAATAGATCCCTGTGAATTTTCTTAAAGAAATGCCATGGATGGGAGCAATTTGCTTCCATCAGTAAACATAGCAGGCTCTGGCTAAAAGGCTCTTACTGTCAGAAACCTGATTTATTTTTTGCACAGTGAGACAGTGCAGATGGTTGTTAATGTGACTCCGCAGAACTGGCCTGTTTGATGAACCCCAGCTGGGTGACACTGGTTAATTTAGCCAATTAACCTGTATTAGGTGAGCTCACAGTGTTACCTCCATGCTGAGGAAGGCAGTGGTGTGTTGCACTGCAGGATGCTGCTGAGAATTATCTCTGTGCAATGTGAGAAGCTAGAGAGAACTGGAGCGCTGCCTTTTAACTTCTGCTAGACAGCAAAAGTTAATTTCCATGTAACTGATTAGTTCTCATTATTGTTTGGATCTTTTCAGACTTCTAGTGGTTCTATATTGTACAGCTAAATGCAGCTGCCTTTATCCTACTGTTTGGTCGTTATATTCATATATATATAATCTAATCTATGAGATTAGATTTGTTATAAGCAATTCACTTTTTTTCCAAAATGCCAGTGCTTAAGTGGAAAAACAAACTTTCTTCTGGTGCCACAAGATATGCCTACATATCAGTAGGGAACAAAAGTAGCATGCAGAAAAAACAAACTTGCTTTATGTAACTTTAAATATGTTTTCCCTCTCCTGGTTAGCTGAGTTGCATTTTGGGAAACAGTTTGTCCAAGTTTCCTTAGGCTGCTTTGCAAAGGAGTTGGGAAATTGATGGCTGTGATGTAGTACGTAATTGGGAAGTCTTTAGAGCAGGGCTTGTCAAGCTTTTGTAGACTATAGCCAGTGTCCTCTGGGGCTGTAACAAGGCTCATCCATGACTGTATGAACCACATAACTTGCCATATACCGCTGCACAAGCTTCCTCTGCCAGCCCAAGGAGTTGTTTATTGATATTTGAAGGTTAATGAAGCGTTTTTTTAGTGTCTTTTCCAGGTGGTGTGTGCTCTGCAGGAGGGAAATTAATGACAGTTTTCCTTTATTCCATGTGCTATATTTCCTTCCTCTCTGGTGTGGTGTGTGTCTCGCTGGCTGTCCCACCAGCAAGCAGCCTGCACGGTACGAGCCAGCACTGGGGTGTGGTGGGACACTGCAGCGGGACAGAGCACTGCAGACTTTGGGCTGCTTGGACTCTTCTTCCAAAGATTGTGGCACAGGTCTTTCTCTAAAGGTTGTTGAGAATTCCATGCAAAATACACAACCTTTTAGCCTTCTCTGCTGCTGCAATCAAAGATACTGGTCAGAGAGGCCATCTCACTTTCCTTTTATTCCCTGTGTTGTTTACTAAATGTCACAGTTCAAATCCTAACAGCTGTTCCTGCTGCGTAACATTTCTGTGCTTTCTGGTCTTACTGACACTTAGGCCTTTGTGTCTTCTGCCACAGCCCCTTTGACACAGAGAACCTGTTTCTGTCACCTGGAGCCACTGCCAAGTTTTCTGTGGGTAGTAGGAAGAGCTCGTTATACAATTGGACCCCACCAAATACTCCCAGCTTCAGGGAGAAATACTACCTGGTGAGTATGCCGAGGAAAGCAAAATACAATGCAAAGACCTAGGAATCAATTTTTTTATTAGATAAGGCTATTGAAGAACACACTCAGAAATGTGAAAACATTGCACTCCAGGGCTATAGCAATTTATTTTGGGGCTTTGTTATTTTTTTTCTTTTAGCTCCTATTCTTTTGAGTTCCATTTTAGATTTTGTAAAAGAAAAAAAAAAACTGCCAAATATTCCTCTTGGCAGCCAGAATGCTAGGGGTCCAGGCATCTGCTCTCATAGTCTGTAGTGGGAATCAAACTAGGAATTGATGTGTCTCGGTAGCTGTGGAGCAGAATGGCGTCTTAGAGGTACTACGTGAAACAAGCCTTTCTCCTCCTCAACCCCACTTTTTGCCGAGTGTAGCCGAGGGAAATAGAAAACCCTGTCCCCTTCCTCATTCATTCAAGAGGATTTTGTTTTAATGGTTGTTTTGTATGATCCTGTTAATTCTGCCATCATACATATGTTCCCCTAACATCAAGTCTAATCAGGTTTGGCATTGCCTCATGAAGGCAGCAGAATATATGGTCTCCTTCAGAAAGGTTTATTATTTTTGTTGGACTCTCAAAAATGAACATATCTTCTAACCACAACATTCACATCCTGTCCTGAGCTGGTGTGACATGAAAGCTGCTTGTCAGGTTCTTTTTCCAGAAAAAAAATTTTAGCTGTCTTGGTGACTTTCATCTGAAAGATCTAAAGCGCAGTTACTACTGCTCCACCTAGTTCCTCCAGGAGGCTCTTAGTACTGTGTTTGAATAGTTTCTTTTGTCCAGTCTATGCTGGTCTGGCTCCCTGGTGCAGAAGAGCCCGGTGGTTTGATCAGTTTGGGTGTGTGTTTCCAAGAACAGGAAACAGAGCTCTGTCTTAGGCAGTAAGCATCTCATGCTTTTCAGTTGTGTATGGGCTCACTTATGCATCTGTTTGCTGCAGTCTGTTTTGCAACAGAGGCAGAACCAAGGGGATGTAAGTGATGAAGCTCAGCCTCCCAGCATATTGAGCTACTTGGCTGCCTGTGATTTTGACGTACATGGGAGGAGTAAGCCTCATGCGGAGGCAAGTGAGGCAGATTCCTTCAGCTCTGAGGATCAGAGGGGGACAGAATCCAGAAATACAACTCCAGCTCTAGACCACAGGACGTTGCCATCAGTGATTATTCAAAGAGCGACAGCGTCCTCTTCCAAATCACACAACTCTAGATATCCTGAAGAAGACTCCGTGTGTGGATGGATTTCCAAATAACCCATCTAGTTTTCTGAATCGTCACAGAGGTAGTAGAGATTCTTTCAACCAGACCAGAATTCGCCATCTGACAGAGCAAGAAGACATCAGTCAGAAAAGCTTGAATGCTGCAAATGACCTAAAACTAGATGGACCTACAAAGTCAATTGATAAGACTCTTGAAGAAGTGTTAAATCTGCTGAAATTACATGAGGTGGGGCAGCCCCAACTGGAGAAATTGGAATACCAGGTTTCATCTCTGAGGGATAAATTAAAGGTAAGGCAGTGGGTTACTCTTGGTAGATGGTGTAGCTTCCACCGTTACTCCCAAGACTGGAGAAGTTCCATGACCCTGGGGTGGATTTGACTTGATGATGTATCGATGGCATGTTCCCAAAAAGTCAGTTTGGCCACCAGAGGTCAGGCAGTCCTTGGAAAAGGCAGCCTTGAGAGCGAACAGGAGCACGCTGTTGCACAGCATCTACCAGAGACAGCCTTCAAACCCTGTGCGCAGATCAGGATTCTGGAAAAATAAATTAAGACGCTGCACGCAGTCAATGTGCAAACTAGTCTGAGCTAAGGAAATCTGAACTGTGTGTCAGAGCCTCTGCATTTTGGTTTGCTTCCAATTTTTTTTGATGTTTTTCAGATTTAGCATACCTTGAGATGACTGCATCAGTTCATCAAATCTAATGTTTCTCGAGGATCACCTGGATTTTGCAGGCAGTTCAGTCTGTCTGACGAGTCATATCATGCTGAAAACATTTATTTCTTTAGAGGAAAGGTTCTGGAGAAGAGCTTTCTGCAAGCAGTGGGTTATATTGCAAATTTGGTGGCATTGTAGTACCTGGGGCCAGTGTGCAGACTTGGGAGATACGATACTGTAAGACTTCATCTAAGGTCTGGGATAATAAATTACATCAACAAAATTGCACTGACTTCCTATTCCAGTGCAGCCACTTCAAAACAAAAAATTTAAAAAAACAAATCAAGTGCTCTCAAAGCAGCCTTTCCAAGGGGGAGAAAGTTAGTGGCTCCATGAAACCCACTATTAATATTGAAGTTCTTGGATGCTGTGTTGGAATGCAGCAGACCCCTAAGATTGCTGCTTCTAGCTCTGAAACGGGGAATAAGTGAAAATTGCAGTAATGGCAGAAGATGCAGAGAAAATCAGCTCTCATACCAGCCTTAGCAGGCATGGAAAGCCAATAAGGAATACAGACAGGTTAAATTACTGAAGCATATTTTGAATTTAATTAGCAACATTATTTTGGGATCAGAGTGATGTACCAAGAGCTAACTTTCCTGATGTGTTAAGAATGAAATCAGAAAAGCAAATTGATTTGTTATTAATATGTTTAAGTTAATATATCAATATATATATATATACTGGTTTGAAAAACAGCAAAGAACTCATGCAAAATGGCTTGATAACTACAAATATCAATATTTTTCCTCTATTCCATCAACAGCTAAAGCCACTTCCTCACAAACATTCATCTATGGAAAGCTTAATGGTGGAGACAGTACTGGAAAGTTTTGACTTTTTAAACACTGACTGCAGCGCTGATGAGCTTTCATTATTTGGAAGTGTAAGAACAGCCAGTATCGGGTACGTACCTGCAGCTCTTCCTGAGAGGGGACGAGGGAAAGGGGTGAGGAGGGCTGAGCCCAGGCACGCTTAGCAATACACTGCACTTGGCAAAGTCGTAATTGTGCAGAGCTGCTGCTGGTACCAACAGCCAGGATAGGAACCAATTTTTTTTTTTTTTTTTTTTAATACTCTGAGTTTCATAATTCAGAGTACCCACCAGACTGAAATGTCAGGAAATTTAAACTGAACTTGTGGAACCCATTGCAGAACAATACCTGCAGGGTGTGATGGAAAGCCTCACGTGCAGGGCTGCTGGAAAGAGAGTGCAGGAAAGGGGCTTATCAGGACAATGCTGAACAGTTCTGCACTAGCGAGGGAGAGAGCTGCGAATAACTTAGAGCTCTTCTACTTGTTATTTCTTTTGAACTCAGTTTTTGCATTTTACAAGTTGTGTAGCACTGAAACTCATATTCCAGAGCTACGAGCTTGACCTTACTACACTGCCAGTATCAGTGGGTTGGGAGAGCACCAAGAGGTTTGTCTGTTCCATGTGCTGCCTTTGCAGTTCACCCACTGCAAATAAACCAGCAACTCAATTCACGTTATCTGGAAGCATCTTTTCCTAGTATTGATTCTCCAAAATGGGATTCTGTGGGATCTGCTGATCTGGTATTACTGTTTTGGAATGAGTTTTATAAATAAAGTCCTTGTGTTTTTCAGAAGTGTTATAAATGTGATTTAAAATGCTGTTATTGCTTAAATGCCTTCTGGTTTGTACTTTTGTAACTTGCTTGAAGGCCAGTATTGAGACTGCACATCTTCATGTTTATTTGGTGATGAGGTAATGTTTTAACTCCTCTTTCCCTCATCTCAACAGCACATACAATGACAACACGCTTCAGTCCCTGAGCTGTGACACGAGAACAGAAACAAGAGATGTAACTACTGGTGATGACAACTTGGACACACTCTTGATAACTCATCTGAAGCTGTGCAAAGGTCTTCTGCAGGTAAGGAATAGCCTATGGGTTTCCAGGGTGCTGGTTGTGACTGTTGATTCTGATTATGGACAAAAGTGAATATGTAGCTGGTTCTCTTATAAAAGCACAAAGACTCAGAGTAGAAATTGAGTCAAAAAAATGCAGTGTATATATGTGTATGCACAGAACGTGTCATACAAAACTCTGCTGCTTTTTTTTCAGCCTCTGAGTTTTGCTGAAGCTCTAGGTAATACCTGTGTGCTGAAAGCAGGCTGCTGATGCAGTAGGACAGGTTTGGGTTGAATTGTTTATCAGTTAACAGGTGATCAATTTTTTAATGAATAAAAAACTGCTACTACTTAGAAAATGGTGGCATGTAGGGCAAGAGAGAGCTCTTATCTCCCTTTGAGACCTCATTCCTCAATTAATTTCAATTATAGTGCTCAAACACATTATCGTCCTCTGCTGAGGACGGGCAGCAGAGGCCAGTGTAACTATTAGCATTGATCTGCCACACAGCTGTCGATGGACCGGGCAGAGAAGAATGCCAAATGCTGGACAGCCTATTCCAGCTCAATGTGATTTACTCATCCTATTCTGCTGAGCAGCTTCCCACTCAGACAGGACCTGTCCACGCTGTGATGGGAAAAGAGGCCGTCTGAGAGCAGCTGGTGTTTTCTCACTGATTTTTAGAAGTTTGATTCTAAGAAACAAATCCTCATTCATCTCGAGCTTGATACTGCCTTTGTTCCAGCTACTAAGATAAACCTGTTGCATTTCAGAAACTGAGGTCACCAAATGTAGCCCATGTTGTCCAGGAGAGCATTCTGGAAGAAGTATCGGAGCAGACACGAGTCCTGGGGGATGTCTTGGATATGTCTGTCGAAGAAAGTGAGTAACTGCATTATTCCAAGGCATGCCAGAGATGTGAGAGGTACAGGTAACTCTGCTTGAACTTCCCCAGACACATTAGGTTTTAGACAAATTCCTTACAAACAATCATGTAATTAGAAGAGCTCTTAGCGAAGTTCTTAGAAAAAGCAGGGCTCAAGGTTTATTTTTTTTCCCTGCAAGGAAGGAAAAGATTTGAAGTTTGGTTCAAAGAAATAGTAGCGGAATTGGTATGTCTTGGAAATAGGGATATATAGATAAGAGTTTGCAGCCAAAGAACAGCAGAATAGCCCTAATAAAATCCTCTTTTATATCTGTGCCTCTACTTAGTAAGCAAACAGCCCACATTCTGTACACGTTTGCAAGAAGACTTTGGTGTGCAATTTTTCCCATTTCAGGCCTTTCCCACTACTAAATTCTTCCCTTGACTGTTGGATATGACAAAGTGATAAAGGCACAACGGGAGACTTTGAAGGCTTTTGTTTTCATCTTGGTAAATATAGCAGCAAGCATGCAAATTTTAGTTGGAAGGATTTGCTGTCAGATTTTATCCTGAAGGATGTGAGAATAAACTGTTCCTTGGAGCAAGGCTCCGACGGGCCTTTGGCACAATGCAACGAGGAAAGGGTAGGAGTCTTAAATGCAGAACACAAGTTCAACATCTCTGTAGGTAAGAGTGAGAAATGATAGGGTGTGAGAAACCACAGGGTCTTGCTTCAAGTGCTCTCCTGAAGTGTTTGATGAAAGCAAGCCTGCCTCAGCCTGTGCACTGCGGTTCAGAGCTCCCCACTTGTGAAGGTGTGTAAGACAGGATCTCAAGAACGCTTGGAAATGGCACATCTCTCGCTGGTAGAAGTGGAAACAGTTAAATTCACAAAAGTTCTGCAACTTGATTCAGATGCTGGGATAAAATGAATAATGAGAGGCAGGAGAGTTGCTAGGCGTCTCATTTAGGTCTCATAATGACAGTTTAGGAGCTCAGCCCAGGCTTGGTGAAATCAGTGCTTGCAGATGTTAAAATACTGGCAGAAAACCTCTAGCTTTGAACAAAACCATCTATATAATGCAAATGCAAGTTGTGCTGACACATCTCTAGATGTGCCATCTGGTGCCTGATTTCTCATGTAAAATCCAAAATCCGGTAGAGCTCACTGACGTTCTAAAATGTGACTTTTTTTCAGTTATTCAGAAGAATAAAAAGAAGAAGCTTTATCTGAAAATTTGGAGTGATCTTGCAGAGCCTGGCAGCATCTTGCTTGCTTCAGCAGAAAGATTCCGTCACGCACTAAAATACACACTGACGCTCAAAGTGAAGGAAAAATACCCGGGTCAATTAGAAGCAGGTACCAGTCCTTGAACACAAGGCCACTCTGGTTTCATTTTGCCGCACAGCTAAAAATTGTACTTGTGCATTTTAAAAATAAACTAAAACTCTTATTTTCTTGTGTTAAGCAGCTTACATCTACCAAACCCTCATTTTCCCGTTTGTTCTTTTCTGTGTTACTTCCAGTGTTGCAGAGATTGCTAGAGCAGATCCTCACCTGTGATGGGCTGCTCCCCTCCCAGTACCTCCCAGCAGGACCGGTTACTTTATTCCAGTTTTACAGCTACCTGGAGAAACACCACATCACCAGCCTGGAGAAACACTTTGGAAAACTTGCTAAGGAAGGTAATGGTGGTGCTTGGCTCCTTTGCTTGAGCCCATGAGCCCAGCAGCTGGCCGCTGCTCGCCAGGTTACTATCAGAGAGAGACTTTCAGAGCAGAAAACAGCCCAGCCGTTGCGCTGCCAATTTGTTGCCATGTTAATTCCCCTTGTGACCATGCAAGTTTAATTAGAACAGGAAAGACATGCTTGACTGCCATATCCAGCTGGGTAGAAACAAAACAGAGGTGTGAAGGATGGGCTTATTGTAAGTGCCCTAAAAAGTGGGTTCTGTGGCATTCTAAAGTTAAAGCAGAAACAAAGCTGGCAGCAAGCTACAGCTGGATTCAAGGACCGAGTAAATGTCTGGAGCTTTGTGTGACTATTGCAGCTGTAATCAGACACAGATAACAGCAATAAAATTTCAGAGGTTACTAACGGGCATTTTCTAGCACGAGGTAGCCAGTGCCTCGCTGAATCCTACTCCAACATGTGAAAATACTTTAAAACTTAGTCTGTATTAGAAAAAAAATATTTTAAAAATAGTCCTGACATTGGCTGCATCTTTAGTCTTATTTTGATGAGGATGACTCATCTTGTGCATTGCTAGTCAGTGAAAAAGACCTGGAATATTCTTCAAATTGAAACTGCAAATCCAGTGCCCGATTTCTTATTTTTTAAAAGACAGAGGGTTTTCTCTTTGACCAGTACAGCAAGATCTTTCAGGGATGTTTAGAAGTATTTTGCTCGATCGTGTTTTCCTTATTGTAGGACCAGACTGCTTGTCCTAATGTCCAAAGGTGCCGGAATTCTTTTGCACTGTATGTTGTACTCGATCCTAAAAGGAGCAGGGCTTCACTGCATCCTGTGAACTCGTATTGTGAGATAATAATCTCTGCTCCATTTGTCAGACAGTCTTGGCATAGGAGGAAATGAAACAGTGAGAGGGAAGGAAGACAGGACGGTCAAAGTGGCAGTTGTCCTGATTTGCTTCCTCCCATGCTTGACTGGCTTACTAGCCGTGTGAAAAACTCCTTGTGGCTAAAGGAGACTGAATTCGAGAGGAGTTTGTCTTCTCTTGATAAAGTTTTCATCTGTCAGTTAGCCAAGCTGAACCCTTTCACTTGCAGTAATGCTCATTGAGGAGCTGCAGTGCCCCGGACGGCTGAAGACTCTTAAAAAATTGAAAGGAAAGCGACTGAACAAACTCCAACCTCTACCACAGACTTTGCGGCTACTTGGGATTTTACAGCTAGACGACAACTACCGCGTCAGCAAAGCTGCCACATCCTGCCTCTCCCGTGCAGCAGCAAACAAGAACTTCAGGGACAAGGTAAAGCCTGCAGTTCTAAATCGATGCTGAAATACATGGAACTTGTTCTATCTTAGAATAGCACTATTGTCCTCACCGCACTTCACTGACCTGTTAACCAGAACCCAAACGACATCAGTGCTCCAGTGACTTGTCTCTTTCCTTTATTCAATTTCAGACAGGTAAAACAGGGCTGGTGTCACTCCGAGTGCTTGATTACGCTTGAGTTCATAATGTTGAGTTTTTTCTTTTTTTTTCATTCAGGCTCTCTTTTTTTACACTGATGTTATAGCTGACAGTGATGTAAGACTTCAGCAAGCTGCATGTTTGGCTCTTAAAAACCTCAGAGTAAGTATTTACAGCTCTACTTTTGCTGTGCGTGTTGGGCCAAAACTGCTACATGCAAAAGTGTATCGAGCTTTTTTTTTTTTTTTCAGCTGGTAGGGTTAGTTTTACAGCTTCCTTCTATGTGGAGTTAATAAATTCTTTGGCTGCTGGGGTTCCAGACTATTAATGCCATTGTTCAAAAGGCAGCAGGCAGAGGGAGCTGCAGGCATCCTGGAGTGTCTGGGTTTGCTGTGACAGGCACAGTACAATGGCAGAAAGGATGTGTTGTAACCCGTACAGGATTCTCAGTGGTGAGGGACAACAGCCACTGTCTGACTGGGGGACATCCGGTGACATCCAATGACAGTCAGCTATATATGGGGTCCGTTCTAAAGCTTTAACTAGAAAAACTTAAATCAGTTTATCTTTTTTAACAATAGCTGATTATAGACAGAAAATAAAAATAGTATTTGCAGTGCTGTTATAAGAAACTGCCAGAACAGATTTAAAGCTTTCCAACAGCCACAAGTCTGTAGTAAGTTAGTTTGCACACACAGGGTTATTGTGAGTCCTTTCTACAAAGGGTACTCGCAGAGGGGCCCAACACATCAGAGCCTCACAGTCGATTTTCAAAGCTTCTGCTGCCCATGCACCACCTGCATTAACTCTTTCGGTGAAGGTCCTGACCGGTTTATGCTGATGCAGCGGTACTGCAGCAGTGACCTGTACCCTGGAACTTTTGTACTTTTTCATGCCCTGAAAGAGGAGAGAAAGCAGCAGAGGTTTGATCATGCTCAGAAAAATTAACTGCAAGCTGGTATGTTGGGGAGAAGATAAAGGCCACAATAGAATTCAGATGCAGGAAGAGATGGGAGTGAATGTGTCTGTGCCTGCCTTGCAAAAAATGTTCATCAGAACGCTTGCTGAAAAGCTATTGTTGCAAATTTTTCTTTTCTCAAACAGGGTGTTGAGAGTATTGAGCAGGTTGCCCACCTGTGCCAGTCGGAGACAGAGGAGGTTAGGAATGCAGCCAGGGAAACAACACTTTCCTTTGGTGAGTCTTTCATACGACTTTAAAATACAGATTGTCAAATAATGTGAAATAGTGCAGACTCGGAACAGGCCTGAAGTTCAGCCTGAGCACATCAAGGACAATGGAAATATTTTTCCCAACAGCTATTCCACATCATTAAGATAAACTTTGTATCACATATAATAATGGAAAGCTCCCATTAAAGTCTGCAGAACCAGACCAAGGCAATTACTGTAGGATAAAGTGCTTTAAGAACCACTAAACTTTTTACAAAGGTGGCAGATAAGTACTGACAGTGCTGACGGTGCTGCTGGAGTGCTCCTTAACAGCAGTCCTGGCCTCAGCAATTCAGCAATTTTCTCCTCCTAGATTTTGCAAAAGGACATTTGAACCTGGCAGATGACAATAAAGCCTCTTCTAGCTCTGAGCTGAGCAAGCTGATTTAAAGATCTTTTATATATCTCAGAACAACAGACTCTTCGGGTCTGGTAAGCTTTTCTAGCCACCTGCAAACTGACCCGTTACTTCTAATTTTCATGTTCCTGTTCTTCAAATGGTTCCACTCTGAATACTGGCAGGGTAGAGAGTACAAACAAACCAGCTTTATCCTGGTTCATTACCTGTTACTTCACCTGAATTCAGTACATCGACAGTGGAGTCGAGCTGCTAATGAAAATGTCAGCGTTCCCAACTTGCTGCTGTCGCGTATTTGTACTTTTGCTGAGGGCAAAGAGAAGTGTCTGGGCTGAACATCTGAAATGCAGCTGCTCGAGAGGCAGTTTACGTAGGAGACAGTAATTCCCCTGTTTTGTTCTTCCTAAAACTACTTTGATTCATGCTCAGCTCTGGGGAACTCCAGACTTGCTTCCCAGAAACACTCCCATTCACATGTATTACAAAACAAGATGTCCAACGGTGATGCTCCAAATCGTTACTCATGTGGAAATGTTTACAGAAGGCCTGACTTTTCCATGGTGGCTTCTAACAGTTTTTGGAAAACTCTTCCCTTGGAGATGTGTTTGTCACTACTGAGAGTTCTGGTCAGTTCCAAACAAGGCCACAACAGAAGTATTTCTAGAGGATCACATTTCTCAGGGTGTTTCTAACTGCTTTCTCTTCCTCAGCATGGGATGTATTTTCTCTTTCTCCACAGGTGAGAAGGGACGGCAAGCCTTTGAGAAAATGGACAGGATTTGCTGTGAATTAAGAGAAACTGTACAACAGGAGGCTGAAATAGAAATCACAGTATTTTAGTAGTGGAGTATGAGGAGCTGAATCAGATTGTCCTCACAGCCACGTCTGGGTACCTGAGGATGTTGTTGGGGCTCAGTGTCTGGTTTACTCACGCCCTGCTGTACACATGCTGCACACCGACAGAGGACAGGCTTGTTGCCGAAGCGGGGAGAGTTTGCAGTCTGCACCAAGTAGGCTGGAATACGCATTTTCTCACTGTCTCTTAGCACCTGATGAAATATCAAGTGCTGGACAAATAAAAATGAGGGTCTGTTAGAATATGGAACCAGGCTGTCACTTGGGTTAATATCCCATCTCCCTGGCATTATCTGTCCCTGCTCAAGCTGTCAGTCAAATATGATCTATTCTCCCAGAAAGTATTTTATTAATTTGGCATTTCTTGAAGAACAGAAATGACTGCTCTCCAACAGTCCATCTAGAAACTACCAGCCAACAGATTGTTTACATCAACTGCTACATACATTAGAAAAAATCTAGTGGCATTGCTTGGTGGTTTCCTTTTCTTGTACAATTTGGTTGCAGAAGGAAAGCTTGTTACTTCAGAAGCCAATTTCTTCATTGTTGTTGCAACTTGGGCAGGTTCAAGCAAGGACTGACGTGCTGAGTGTATATCCTCAGCAGTTTACAACCGCAAGGTATGGATTGTGTTTGCCATGTGCAGGTCTGACTGACATATGGACAGCTCTGTATAAGTTGTTCTGGTTTTTGTGTTGTTTTTGTTTTTTAAATTTATTCATTTAGTCATAGAACAAGACTTCTCCTAGTCATACACCCAGTGTCAGGCTCCTTACTCAACACTTACTTAGAGGAGGGCAGCCATAAAGAGAAGCCTGGCTTCAGGTGAAATACTTGAAAGGGTTTGGCTTGTGTGTATATATTTTTATATATAAATACTACTTTTCTATTCAGTATTTATTTGTTGGATTTCATACTGTTTTCTAAAATTCTAATAAAACATTTGAGACAAGTTCCTGCAAGTGCTTTATTCGGGTGGGCCTGTAGCGGTGGGGATAGGCGCAAGGCAATAACCCCCGCTTCAGGTGAAATACTTGAAAGGGTTTGGCTTGTGTGTATATATTTTTATATATAAATACTACTTTTCTATTCAGTATTTATTTGTTGGATTTCATACTGTTTTCTAAAATTCTAATAAAACATTTGAGACAAGTTCCTGCAAGTGCTTTATTCGGGTGGGCCTGTAGCGGTGGGGATAGGCGCAAGGCAATAACCCCCAAAGGGAATTTAGGTACTTACTTGACACACACCTTAGCTCCATCTGCTGTGTGCCATGCACCCACTGCTGTACTCCGTCTGGGAGAGTTCACGCTTGTATTGTTGCAATGGGCTGAGTTACTGTCCTGCTGTTGGTATTTAGTGTGGGACAGTGCAGCTTGCGTATACAGCTGAGGTCTTTCCTGATGAGCTCTGAGTAGCAGGACCACCCTCTTTAGGTTGGGCTGTTCTGTGGCAAAGTAAAACTTCAGGGGCTGCTTTTCTGTGCTGTACTTCTGCTTTTAACTCGTGGATTTAAAAGCAGGGGAAAGAAGTTTGACTTTAGTAGATTCTCTGCTTCCCCAGGGCACTCTTCCCTCGCTTCCCCTTTCCTAGAAGGGGGAAAGGGAAAGCGCAAGGG